AACTTGTCTCTATTAGCTAGGTCAGGTTCCTCTAACAGAAACCTAATAATACTAACATTTATAATATTATATTACACTCTGTAGTTCTAAATATTAATCAGAGGACAAAGCAGCTGTAATACTTAATAGTTTGTGTTAAATTTTTGCATGAATCAACAGTGCTAAACTCTGTATATATGCTCCACAAGCTAATATCTGCTAACCAGTTCAATAAATAACAGTGATTACATGGACTTTATAAGATTATTTTAATTTTAAACTATTATATTATGTTCTGCTCAGATCACAGTGAGCTAAATAAGATCAAATCTGCTGACTTGTTGTAAAATGAGACGTTTTCCTGTTTATCTTCTGTTAATAAATCCAGAACACAAACAGCTTTTCTGACATTATTTAAAACATTAGATAGATTATATAAACTGTAAAATATTAATAATAATTGTGTGAATATAATTATTAATAGTTGTAATGATTTCTACATCATCAGTCCTTGTTTTCTGCTCTGTGGTCAACATGTACAGTGATGATAAATCCAGAGTTTTGACAGTTTTGTGTTAGCCGTTAGCTTCACCTGCTGATCACACCTGGTTTCTGAGCTGCAGGTGTTCTGTGGAACCTCCTTGGACACACAGAGACATGCTGCCCCCTGCTGTTCACACTGACAACTACACTCATAAGAACAGAGACGTCATGGTTTCTAAACACTTTACAAATGAAGAGTTTGTATTTTTCTGTAAATAACAACAATAAATAGATCCTGTGTGATACATTCAGTGTGGGTGAAATGGTTTTTGTACCACAGGTCGACTCCCTCGTCGTACCTTCGGGCTCCGTACAGCAGCTCAGGAGCTCGGTACCACCTGAACACAGAATGGGTCACATGTTTTATTCTGAAGGCACCAGTTTGAACATTTAAATATAGCTAGTGGCACTCGTGTTGCCGTGACAACCCTACAGTCCTGATAATAAATACTTACATAATAAGTACAAATACTTTTCAGTAAAATATAATTGTAAAACAACAAACCAACTCACTGGTTCAGTACACACATGATCCAACCATCTGTCAGCCACAGTGATGTAAATAACTCAGAGGATAAATGTGTCAGGGTGTGTAAAATGGGCGGAGCTTGAACTCACCTGGTGGCCACCTGGTGGCTGTACAGCCTCTCACCCTGATCGCTGAACAGCCTGGCCAGACCGAAGTCTGCGATCTTCAGGTGACCTGAGGAGCTGATGAGGAGGTTGGCTGGTTTCAGGTCCTGCACACACACACACACACACACACACACACACACACACACACAC